ACATGAACAATAGCAATTAGAGAATTCCATAAATAGCATTTATTCGTATCGTGTCAGGTCACCGCGCTGTGTCCCCTCCAAAGAAGATGATGCAAACCTGATGTAACTAAATGCACGCGAGAAGCCCAGACACATCTAAATAATGTATAAATGATACGTCTTGTTAGCCTCCACTCACAGGTTCAGTTGTCTTCTTTTGCACCAAATGATCAATGTCCTCCTATTATCGTCATGCTCTCGCTTCACTTCCATTCCCAATTCTCCCCGCCTCTCCCCAGGTCTTTCATGTTGCCCTCTGGGAGCCAAACAAAACACGGGTTTCTACTGCAAATAAGGAGCTAAAACACCATGTGATCAGTCATGAATTATTTGAACGCTATTGATTTGTATAAAAATGTTGCCCTTCCCCAGAGTATTTGACCATAAGAACAAAAGTATCCATATGAGGGAATAAACGGAAGGAAGAAAAAAAATCATTTCTTTTTTTGGGCGTAAATGAAAGGAAACTATTTTAAGGAGATGAAAGTAATTAATGAGTAGGTTTAACCTGAAGAGCAAATTGTAGCTTGTTATGGAAAGAATGAGGCATAGAGAGGAGTACTGTGTTTGATTTTCAAGCATTGTCTGTGGATTACTGTGTTTTTCCTGCAAATCTGCACTGCATTTAAGGGTGCAATGTCAATTTCATGCCTTTTTTTTTTCCCTCAACAAGAGGCCCCGTTGCCCTGTGGGTAGAAAGCAGTTAGAGAATACACAGGGAAAAATAACAATCCAAAAAGGAGAACCAACATATTCCCAAAACATCCCAGTCGAGTGCGAGCTAATGTTCAGCACATTGTGGTATTTTCATGTTGAATTTTTTTCTCTTTTTTTCGCCCCGAAAGCCTCATTTAGATGGCAGACAAGGCTTTTGAACACAAAAACAGCCTGTAGTCTCAGTGGACCGCTGCAGCACTGGAAAAGGACCTAAATGAAGGCACCAGACAATGTAGAAACCACGAGATCCCTGTACCCCGCAGACAAGCCAGAGGAGCCTAATAAACAAACACAAAATCACTGTCATTAACATGACAGCCTGTTAAAATCCTCCTTTCCCTCACAAAAAAAGGCTTACATTGTTCCACTGGGGAAGAATCCAATTTTCTGTTTCTGCACAGAACCACATCTGTACAGCATCTCTGCATTGCTGAATCAGATTCAAGTATAGCACTTTATTGCATTGTTGTGCTGCTCCCTGTCCCTATAGTATGAGATGATGATATTTTGAGATAAGCGCTGCTCTACAAGAAGCTTTATGGTCGTGGAAATTATATTAGAAGCTAGAGGTGCAGTAGTTGCTTTTTAAGTTACATTTTCAAAACTCACTCTGCTCTCTTGGGGCCGAGTATAACATTTAGACAATCACATACGTTTTTACTGAAGCACTCCGCAGAGAGTCGCTCGGGTGCATGTTAAAACGCATCTTTTGTTATCTTTCCATCTCTCTTTTACACATAATTCGTCGTAAGATTTTTAGTATAAAAAAGAGAAAATGAAATCCTTTGACTTTTTTATTGCCCATTTATAAGTAGCCTAATTAAATGATTTCATTATAGTCTCCTCTCTGGGAAAAAGAAATCCTGGCAAACTTCCAGAAGCAGAGATCTGCATTTAGGATCATCCGTTGCTCCTCACGTGAGGGATTAGTTTGGTGTAGGGAACAGCTTGAAGCAGTGTAGTGGCATTTGTTGGGGTGAGGATTTGCTGTCCAGGCAGCGGCTGCTCCGACCCTTCCTGTATTCGCTCATCTCTAAATCTGGATACTAGCACCACCACAGGGATTTACAACCCTCGCACAGGCTACAGGCCTCTAACACAGTTCAGTTCTAATATCTAACATGCTAAATCAAATGTTTGACCAATGGGGGCAACACAATCCTAATTTTCTCATTGCTTTGCATTGCTACAGCGTGGCCCCCCACTTCCTCTCCCTCTCTTCCACACTGTCTCTTCACCCTCCCTCTCCTCTCCTCTACTCTCTCTCTCTCTGTCTCTCTGTCTCTAAGCTCTCCTCCAGCCAGCGCAGACTCATTTAAGTCTGCTGATGTCTTGATAATGTTCCAAAGCCTTCACAAGCAGGTAGAGAAGGAATTCCTCAGCTCCCTAATTAGCAGTAAATGGACGATCAGGGCATGAGTAGGTTTATGGACAGTAAGATAGCGCTTGTCGCCTCCTATAGGGATATATATTTTACTTTTAACTCAACGTAAATAAACTTGCAGTCAAGTGGAAGTCTACTTATCACTTAAAAAGGTTTCCAAAGATGTGTTAAAGGTAGGAAAATAAATAAAATATATATTTATTGTTGATTAGTGAGCTTTGATGCTTTAATTTTCCAAATGATTGAACTAACCAATCAGGTAGGAGCTGTTTTTGTACAATGTTTATAAACATGGGAGTATTGCAATAAAAGTAAACATGTAGGAAATCATTTTTTATGATAGAGACCCCATTGATTAAAGCTGATAATCATAACTCATCATTAGAAGTAGAGATTTAAACTAGAAATTAGGTGCCCAATTATTGAAAAAAAACCACTCTTATTTAAATAAATAACATTTACATTAACAGGAACTCTAGTCCATAAAATAGGACCTGAATATCATTGAAATGGAAACAAATTAAGTTATTATTAGGTTTACTAATACTAATTCTTATATTATGATGAATAATAATGATATTAATATTTTAGTATTTTGTTTTTAATTATTGCTTTAAATTCTATGTATTGTCGGATTTAATCACACCCTTTTATGTCATGTGATTGGCCACACTAATAACAACAATAATACTGACTGACAACAAATAAACCAATTAATAATTTAAAATAACATGACTGTTTTTTCCGGAGTGCAGTGCAGCAGGAAGGTGGGGTGCTGGGATCGTGAGGAATGAACGGCAAGTGAAAATATGATTGAGGCCCCTTTAAAAGTTGTTGGCCGCTAAACTGCAGCGACACCAGCGTTGGTGCGTAAAGAGCATCCCTCCTGGATTCCTTCTGATGTTCCTCCAGGCTGCTGCTGATTGGACACCACATGCTTTAAATATGTACGATTACAAGTCATTTAAAACATTATTTTTTTAAAAAAAAAAGGACCTGCATAGAAAATCTATGTAGAATAAAAACAAAATTACATTTGATTAAAGAAAAGATAGCCTGCATTGTGATATACGTTGTCTCGTTTTAATTGGTATTGTGTTTGCCATTCATATTAAATATGCACAGCCATAGGCCTTCTGGCGATATGTTTTCCTTTATTATTCCGGATGAATATGTTGTTGCACTGAAGAATTGTAAATGAGCAGTCGAGTTGGATACACCGTTTAAAACACAATGCTTAACAGTTCAAAAAAGATATCCTAATAATAAATGTATACCTGCATCTGATTAATTATGTATTTCCAACATTTTAGATTGTATTTGTTTCCATGTGCAAATGTTCTCTAACCCACTGACATAGGCCTATTTTCAATTACGTACCAACATGACAATACAAATAAATGATCTCTTCTTTAGATCCCAGAGTGAGATATTATTCGGATCCTGTGCGTAAAAGTTAAATATTTCCCTTAATTCCATTTTTTTAAGGAAGCCCCTGTTGGTGGATTATTTCGTTAGACACACGTGCGCCTTTTGTGTAAACGCCACTCTATTGTGATGGTGTGATATCGAGGCACACGACTGGGAGAGCAGATTTGCGTCTTAAAGAGGATTTAGGTCTATTAACAACAAAAGGCGCAGTTCATGGCACAAGGGAGAGACCTCGACTTGTGCGTCAGCCGCAGTGATGTGAAGCGGGCTCACTGATAAATGGAGAGACATCAAACCGAGTCATTAGAGAGCTGAGATATGAGACTTTCACAGTGGCGGGCCGCTCAGGGCTGCAGACCCAGGGGATCTCACTCCTCTCCCGGCCTTTTGTGTTTGTGTGCTGGACTGATGAACGACTTAGATAACGTTAAGCCATTATGGGCTCACTTATTCCCATGAAAATCCTGTAAATAGAGGGAACATTTTTTTTTCTCCACTGCTGATATTGATTTGTAGCTCATATTTGTAACCGGAAACCACAAAGGATTACAAGTGAATACTCAAAAGGGACCCGAATTTACAACAGCCCAATATTAATTACAGCATTATCCCATCATTATGTATGTGTTGCTAGCTGGATACCTTCACTCGTGATTTCCAGTGTGCATTGAGGTTGATTTTAATACACTTGTTTTAGGAAGGCAGAGAGCGATGAAAATGCATCTAATATGGGATAACATTCAAATTTTCTTGCACAAAATGTTGTGGAAAACAAAGGATTGGGACCTAACATATTTTTACTGATATCAACTTAACGTAAATTAAGTTTATAGTGATGTTTCATAATATTTAGGGTTTAGTCAGTCAATATGTTTTTCAATTAGGCTAAATAACCTCTTTTTATTTTTGTATTCATGTTTTTGAACGTGTCTTTGACCTAAGACTTGTATAATACGACATCATTTTGAAAGTACAAGTCCATTCAGCTGACACAACAGAGATTACGTATACTTTGTGGACCGAGTTGCCCATAAAATAGCTTTTAAACACATTATTCTACTCAACAAACACCAACAAATCATGGGGCAATCCCACAAACCCAGCATGTGTATCTTCTAATCGCGTTAATTGAATTTTCGCCGAATTAATTAGACATAACAGCCATATACAGCCTCCTTGCAGGGGAGAGCCACCGTAGGCATTTTAATGACCCGTAATTCAATTAACCGCCTCCATCAGCTCCATCATTGATTTGTGGAGGAAGAAGAGGAAAAAAAAGCTGCTGAAAGTTGAATTCTGCAAAGTCGAGCCGGCCTGTAATTGCTCAAGACACAGAAATCGGAGGGAAGAGGGGTGGGGGGGCTGGGCTGAGGTGGCCGTGTATAAATAGTGTGCTCTCAAATACACAGTCACAACAGCAGGAGTGATCTCACCTCCTCTCCACCCCTTCTATCTGTCGCTGCTGCCAGCCTCCAAAAAAAGAGCGTTATAGCAGTGCTGGTAGAGACACGGTGAGGTACAACTCACGGTGGATTTCCCTGACCAGGACCACTACTGAGCGACAGAGCCGACCATGGAAGAACTTACGGCATTCGTGTCGAAATCTTTCGATCAGAAAACCAAGGAGAGCAGCAAAGAGAGTATCACGTACAGGGAAGTTTTGGAGAGCGGCTTGACAAGGGCGAGGGAGCTGGGCAGCCCGGAGACAAACCTGCAGGACATTACGGAGGGCTGCCCGGCGCATCTGTTCAAGGACCACGTCGAGCTGGAAAAGGACAAACTGAAGGACTTTAGCGTTTCGAGGTCGAGCGAGGGTAAGGTTTTGATTTAATTTTAAGAAAATGTTGCCGTTTTGTGTCGGTGAAATGTCTCAAGTTCAGTTGTTTTGTATCGACAGCGACGTTTCCGCTTTTACAAATGCCCGAGAATCCGTGCGTAAAATTAGTTTACGTCACGGTTCGCGTAAAGTTAAAGTAGATTTGGAAAGTTAACGTTTTATTCTGTTGCTGCACAGATTATTTTACAAAGCAGGAGGTGGCCCCTTCGTCTGGTCGCCGTTTTAACTATTTGATGATTGTTGACAGACGTTCAGTGTTTGGCCAAACGAAAAATCATATTACCCTTTCATATCTTTTTTACAATAGTATTACATTATGGATTTGATTACCGAGTTCAACCCTATTATAGTGGCAACTTAACATTGTTTGCCAACACGAAAATATGTGGCCACTTTTCCTTACCTTTAAGGTATTCATTGCCGAAGAAAATCATAATAAAGTGTATGGGATCGTTCCTCCTCCAATGTTTCTTCTCTTATCTCTTACAATAATTTCTGAAAAATAAATATCATATGTTTGGCATCTTTTACAAGTGTAACTGAAAAACGATTGTCATCGTGTTACATTTAAAAGATTAGGCTGATGCCATAGTCGACTGCTTTTGAAAATGGAAATACTTTCAGCTGTTACATTTCTGTAATTTAAAAAATGTACCACAGAAAATGTTCTAAAGATAGATATTTTTCAAAACAAATGATGTCAATTATTTATGAAATAAAAAGTAAAGTCAAACAGCAGAACAGGACATGTTTTACTGAGCAGTCAAAAAGTCTGCAGTGTGAAGAATTTTAGACAATTATTAATTCATCCTAGCTTGTTTTTACTTTTATCTTACAGGCAAAGTGAAAATGGCTCAGTATTATTAAGCATACTATCATTCTATTTTTTTTGGTTGATATTATTGCAAGATAATAGAAGAAGACAGTTATTTATGCGATGGGATTGGCATTTAATCATTTGAAATATATAATATTAAACTAATTTTAGTCAAATAAAGTAACCTCATCTGACTACAAACATGGGACCAAACAAGCCAGTAATTGCAGCAGTTTGTTGTCATGTCGGTTTAAATAAATGTTAGTACAATATAGTACAGTATACAATGTTAGTTATGGATGAATACTATACTGACAACGTGTTACACTGAAAATACAGGCATTTTAAGGATATAATGAACAAAAGGAAATTACATTTTAGGACTGACTTTTTTTAATTAATAGCCTGAAATAACCCCAGCCTTCTTTACGGAGGTGAGTAATTAGGCCTAAATCTTTCCCATTTTGCCGAGCTTAATTCTCTGCTCTTTAAATCGCTTATCCTTATTAGGCTTACATGGCATGTAAAGACTGATTTACTTTCATATCGGCACTGACCTTACAGCACTGACTTATGGAAGCTGGAAATGCAGCCACAGGCCCCTCTCTCAGAAGAAGAAGTAGGCTGTGTAATGTGTGTGTTGCTGCCAAATTGCCAGGCCTTAGGCCCCTGACAGGGCCCAGTGCAGGGGGCCAGGACGGGGAGAGATAGTGCATGTTTCAGTAAAGTCTGGAATTTAAACGCATCTTATTTCCTTTATTTTTTAACCATGGTCCGGTTAACAGGGATATACGAGTGTAAGGAGAAAAAGGAGGACGTGAAGTCGGAGGATGAGGACGCACAGGGCAAGCTGAAGCAGCGGAGGAGTCGCACTAACTTCACCTTGGAGCAGCTCAACGAGCTGGAGCGGCTCTTCGACGAGACGCACTACCCGGACGCGTTCATGCGGGAGGAGCTGAGCCAGCGGCTGGGTCTGTCCGAGGCCAGGGTGCAGGTGAGGATCCCCTCCTTCCTCTTCCTCTCTCCCTCTTATCTGATTTATAATGCCAAACACGGCGAGGCTGCTGTGAGAGCAAGAATCGATGTTTTTCTCGTTATATTCTTGCAAGGGCTGTGTGTCAGTGTGGAAATATTCTCGGTGTTTTTGTGGTTATATTAGGATCTCTGTAAGATGTTATATTTATTCAGACTGTTATAGATCTTACACAGCAGGTGTTGATGTTTTTTTAGTGGCTTCGCAATATGTGGGAGTTGTGTTGATGATCAGTCATTGATTTATGCTCGAATAAAAAAACTAAATATTGTGCCATTTGAAAAAGACTATATGGATTTACCGAAAAGTAACACGTAATACACTGCTTGAAAAATATATAACAACTATTTAACAAAGATGCAGTTAATTGTTTCTTTTCTTTTCTGGGCAATACTGTTTTGCAGTGTGACCTCATGCTGATAATGTCTTCGAGCTTGTAAAAAAATTAAATAATAATGAAGCCCTTCATGCGTAAAACAGCGTGAGCCACATGTCATGTTTATATCATACACAAAGCTTTACTTGTTTTTTTTTCTCCAAGAGATCTCTTTGTGTTTCGTGTAACATGCAACAAAAATAAATAAAACAAATATCAATATCTAATTAGTCTTAGCCAGGATGACCTTAAAAACCTAGGAGATAAATGATGCAGCCCCTGTTGTGAGAACATCTGAAATGTTCTTATATTCCTTTGGGGATTTATAAAGTGTCTGTGGTATAGCTCACTCAATAGTTTAATTTTTGAGCAATCTATAATGTTTATTTATTTGTGGAGTCGTAATAACCCCGCAGGAAGTGGGCTAACAATTCTACTGCAACAGTTCAGTTGTACAAAATTCTGCAACAAAAGTCTCTTTTAGGATTTGTAGGCTTCCAGATTGAAATTAATCCAAATTTAGACTGAATATTTAATCACATTTACCCATGCCTTCTGTGGTGTTAACAAGTAGTTTAAAAAGGACGAAAAAGGGAACATCCATACTTTATAACAGAGTGTGAGTTCAGTGATATCCAACACGTGTGAGGTGCTGTAAATCACCCGGGATGTAACAACCTTCTGAACCTGCAGCAGTGGGCCTGCAGAGCCAACAGCCTGCGATCCCAGAAGCCTTAGGGGAGGGAGAAAAAAAAATCCAACCAATGATTAAAATGAATGAAGAGCCTGAATGGCTGCTTCAGGGGACGCACTCTTATGTCAACTCGTATCGCTCCTCATTTTCTTTGTAATATCTGCCATTGGCTTGATGTAGTGTCCCCATAAAAAAAGATTAGAAATAACTCAATTCTGGCCCAATTCTGCTGCTGCTGTTCAGCTAATCAGATGAATAAAACCCGTCATAAGACCACAGACTACTATTTTGAGCTCGGGCTTGGTTGACAATTCCGGATACCATTGCATTTATCAGCCTAATAAGTGTATAGCTATACGCGTTAAAATAATGCTTGCTGTAAATATTTGACAAAGACTCAACGCCTGCCTGTTTGTTTACCGTCATCAAAGCGACTGACAGAGCACGTTGATGGTCGGAAAAAATAAATCCTTTTAAAGGCACTTTTTTCGACTCAGGGACATGTTGTCTCCAGATTTAGTGAGAGTGAATTGCAGCAGGGTTGTTGCAGGCTGTGAACCTGCGCTCCGAGCAGCTGTCAATGAATCTAATTGAAAGTTATGAGAGCTTGGTGAGGAGCAGGCAGTAATTCAGTTAGGACTAATATCTTTGGGTTTCTGGCGCGCTGCTAAATTAAATGTCATTATTCACTGTCTCTAATAAAAAATCAAAAAGGAAATAAGATTAGGGTATTTGTGAAGCGCATCATTGAGTGGCCCTTAATGAAGAAATAACTGTCTGAACCAGTGTAGTTCACTTTGCTTAACATACTGGCACGTAATTGGAATTGATCCCGGGCCCGTCTAATATTAGCCCTGATTTATCTGAGGGATTACTGTGCGTCTATGCAGAATCACCTGGGATTTTCATAAACACCTTTTCTACCACCACTTAACGCTGTAACAGTGATCACTTAGCGCCCTTTCATTCATTACAATTTACAATATATGCCTTTACTTCCTACAATAATAATAATAATAATAATAATAATAATAATACTAATACTAATACAAATACAATAATGTTCTTTAATTGGTGAAACATGTAAAAAGTACCTTGAATTTATGCTAGTTAAATTACAATGATTAAAAAAATCAATAAATGTTATTTATTGTCCCAAATATACAATTATATTTATAAGATCAGTTTTTGAGAGATGGCAACATTATTTATTTATTATTTCACTTGACTTCGTTTGTCTCTAATGGACAGTTATTGCTCTCCCATCGACACAATGCTGAGCGCGCGCAGCTCAAAATGGCTCCACAGCACCTCTTCATCATCATCATCCTCATCATCATCAATCTGTGTGCCCTTTGTGGTCCCGCAACCAGCCGCTAATTTCGCATCTGTAAATGATAATCGTTGCGGGGGTCGAAGGGGAGGGGGGAGATAATGTGATTCACCGAGGCAAATTAGGTTGATGATGATTAACAACGGGCCGCAGCCTGAAGCTTCAAACACAGCCAGCTAATTGGAAGGTGCTCAAGGAAGTTTTCTAACCCCCCTTTTTTAAGACATCTTAAAATATCATCATTGTATTATTATTTTTAATATCTGTGGATATTTTGGTGCGATATTTTGGTTTATTATTATTATTATTTTGTATATTAACACCCTTTTCTTGTATGTCTTTTGGAGGTAAATATCACAATTATTGTGACCTTATGCTTCTGGATTTTTCTGGGTTGTTTATACAAATGTATTTAACAATTTATGGCCTACTTCCTATCATGTAAAGATTTTCAATTTTTCTCTTTATAAAATATATGCCTTTCATACAAGCAGCTAGATAATATTTAAACTGCTTATATTTAACCTTATATGGTTTATTTACTTTGGGCTTTAAATAAACGGAATGTCCATAAAAAATAATATAAGTATCCAATAGTGTACCAAATTTTGAAAAAGGAATTCAAAAACTAGATTTGTTTGTTTGTTATTTAAAACAGTGTGTATTTTTGTTTCCTTATAAATAATTTCCTTTTTCAATTACAGGTCTGGTTTCAGAACAGAAGAGCAAAGTGTCGAAAACAAGAAAACCAGATGCACAAAGGTAAATGTAAATGTCATTTTATTGCCTCTTTAATGAAAATATGTATTTGCTTTCATTTTGCAATTTCAAACTTTTCTTCTGCATGTGAACAAAAGAACCTCAAACATCTCTTATAACAACCGCTGTCTGGCTGTCTGACAGACATCTTTCCCTTCTCTCCAGGTGTGATCCTGGGCAACAGTCACCTCGACGCCTGCAGAGTAGCACCCTACGTCAACATGGGTGCCCTCCGGTTGCCCTTCCAACAGGTAGGCCACGTTCTTCTATCAGAGCTAACAAAGCTTAGAAACACAAACCCGGTCAGATTCACATGAACAAAAGTTAAACATGCAGGCTGAGTTGCAGAGAAAAAAAGATGATTACTCAGCATCTTTTAAGGCAGGGCTGAAGACAGTGGAATCTGTAGAAACAGGTCAAAGTGAGTCTGTGGTCCCCAAAGTAGGCTGTCTATATTTGTACATTCACATTAATCTATAGACCATATGCAGCTATTGCGAGACAGTGTGTGTGTGTGTGTGTGTGTGTGTGTGTGTGTGTGTGTGTGTGTGTGTGTGTGTGTGTGTGTGTGTGTGTGTGTGTGTGTGTGTGTGTGTGTGTGTGTGTGAGACCTCAGTGCACCTTTCACCTCCTGGCCGTGTGCAGAGGGCTGAGCTTCAGGGAGAGGTGGACAGACATTTGATCTGCTGAGATCTGCTCCTGCGTCATGGCTGCTGTGTTGTCTGCTTGACCCTCGTGAAAAGCAGCGGCCTAATTAAGCCAACAGTGCGGCAGGCGAGCACATAAAAGAGATGATGAAAGCGGTGAATGGAGTGGGCTCTGATGGATATTGGCGTTGAGCTGCACTGGCAGGGGTGGAGGCTCGAGGCCTGCATACCGAGATAGGCTTGCTGTTTGAGGTTGAAATAGGCAGTGGGCAGAACGCTCAGACTGCACTGACATCACAATGCAGCATACGCATATAAAACAAGTGATGGTTAGAGGTTTGGTTGGTTAAGGTGCATGACTTGGCCCTAAAACCTTTGTGTCTCATACTTAGTAGCAACTGAAAAGTAAGGAAAATTCATTGTAATTAACATAAGAAGCTGAGATGCTTGTTTATGTTAAAATACGTATATAAGGAATCTAAAAGGACAAGATCATAAAATGTCCACCACCTGTTTTATCAGTTCCCGTCATTTCCCCTCCACAAAACCAAGTTTCAAGAATAGCATTTGTTTTTCCATCAGTGCTCATGCATTTTAATCAGATGTAACCGCACTATACATTTGGAAATTATCAGTCACAGCTACAGTTTGTTACCCGAATGTTGGTAAATGAGATGTGTGGAAACGCTGGTTGTTTGCGGGAGGTTTTGTTTGGATGCAATGGCAACGCTGCTAAGCAACGATACATTTGTGGTTTAGTTACATTTTCCCTTTCATTTAACAACTTCAACTTAAGTCATTTTCAGTCATTTTAGTCCAGTATGAAAGGGTGCAAAGTGAAAAAATTATATTTAGTCAAGTTAAAACTTTGACTTTATCCTTCTATTTTGTTTGGAGAGGAAAGCAAGGAATACTTTAGTTTCCCCACTTCTGCCTGTGGTGTTTGAAACACATGAGAAATGGCAACAGGCTCCACGCTCCCTCTGAAGTGAGTGGATGCTTAATTTTCACCTACTTCTTATAAAATAATTGCCAAGAATGTGAAAACTGATATTCTATGCTCCTTATGGTTTCTTTTTTTCCCTTGACTCAGGAATATGTCTGGATAAATATTTATAACTCCAAATATGTGAATATCTTTTTAGTGCAAAATTGTTTATTTATGCAATTGAATACATAATCAGGATAACAAGACTGCATATTTCCAAGGGTATAACGGAGTCCTCAGTCTGAATTAAACAAATCTGTTCTGGGTCCTAGAAAGACTTTGATTCTGGATGATTAAATTGGATGTGGTGTCTGAAAGCAATGTATGATTCATTAACTTTTAGAATAGCTGACATGAAAAAAGGGTAAAGCGCAGAGTGCAGCCCTAACTATTTTCTTAGAAAACACACTGTAAGCATCAGCCTTGAGGGGGTAACATTTGAGGGGGAATTTAATACTCTCAGCCTGTGAAACCTAAATCCTTAACACACATACTTACACACACACACGAGGCCCGAGGCGCCCATGCTGACTAACTTTGTGTGTTGCTGTTCTGCAGGTCCAAGCCCAGCTCCAGTTGGACGGCGTGGCTCACTCCCACCCCCACCTGCACCCTCACCTGGCTGCTCACGCTCCCTACTTGATGTTCCCTCCTCCTCCGTTCGGACTACCAATGGCATCGCTCGCCGAATCGGCCTCGGCAGCAGCGGCGGTGGCGGCAGCTGCCAAAAGCAACAGCAAGAACTCGAGCATCGCCGACCTGCGACTCAAGGCAAGAAAACACGCCGAGGCTCTGGGACTCTGACCCCTGCAGGCTGCCCCTCCGCTCGCCTGATGCCCATAATCGCCCCTCACACAAGACTGAGCCTGTGAAAGGGCCGTGACACTCACAGCTAAAACTAAACTAAACAAAAACAATGAGTGAGAATGAAAGGGAGGAACACATACAGAGAGGGGGGAGAGAGAGTGTGTGTGAAAGAGAAAGAGGGAGAACAGTGGAGGAGGAAAATAAAAGAGAAGGAGGGAGCGAAAAAATTGTCACAAAACCAGCTGCCAAAACAAACCACTTGTAGAGAACGGTAATTAAATACCAATGAAATCACCTTTTACTTTTCGCCCCAACAGGCAGGACTTCTGCGGGGCCAGTGGCTCAGTCCACTCCAGGCCCAGATCACATCCCAAGGACCGTACAAACACATGTGGATGTCTGTCTGAGGGCCAGGCCGGGGCCCGACAGACCAGAAGGCGTTAGAACAAAGCAAACGGGCAGGCAGCAGCAGGGCCCAAAGCGGAGCCGCGCTGACGCTGGCTGCCGACATGTTGACAATGCAGAGGGTTGAGCATGGGGGGGAAATAGACCCAAACACCACCTCACCGAGGCATTGGAACGGCTTACACCTTTACACCCTCCCCTCACTAGAAAAAATGAAGAAAAACATTAAAAAAGGCCATATCTGTCTCCAGTCACTGTGTTCCCTGCTGCTGCCGAGTGCATGAGCTCTAATGGAGGACTGTTGTGGGACCGTCTCCATCCACACTTGACATAAACGCTCGACAACAGTTTTTAACACTGCCATTCGACATACCCACTCCCCCCCCACCCCCTCACCCCCAACACACACAAATTGAAAGGTCTCCATTGCGGACCTTTCACTTCTTATGGACTTGTGCTATATCAAAAGCAAAAACTCATCCTTCCTTTGCTGCGGAGGGGAGACGTGTTTTATTCTGCGTTGCTGGGCGTGTGTCGGCGAGACTTGGTTTGCATTTCTCCTCACAGCGTGCACTCTCTGTCTTTATTTCTTCCCGTTTTTGTTGTGTTGTATCCTGGGTAAAGCAGTGAAGATAGCCTTTGCACTTCAGGTCTTGTATGTGGGTGTTTACAAATGGCACTACAAGCAGATACTACTTTACTAATTAAAAGGGGAAGGGGATTTGATATTGTAATGTGTTCGGCGGAAGGACACTATCTTGGATAAAGGGTAACCATGCGTTCTTTTTTTCTTTTTTGTAATTCTGAAAATATGAAGAAAGCATCAGTCAAACTGGAATGCAATGGTGTGCAGTTTAAGTGCAATACTGTAAATAGCAAAAAAGTTCAAAACAGCTAGCAGTTAATCCTTAACGATAAGGAGACCCAATGATTTTTCTTTTGGAGTGTTGAATTTCTTTACCAAACAACAGCTTTTCTACAGCAGTGTATATTTTATTGAGTTTGAGAAGAAGTCACTCATTACCAGGTGCCATATCCCATCCTCTGTATTCAAGCAGTTTAGTTTTGTAGACGCTGCAGAAACATGGGTTTGGTTCTTTATAAATAAAAAGCCTACACCACATTTGAGGATATTGTTCATAATAAACCAACAAATCAGCATTTAATTCCAAATAAAGCCGTTGTTTACACTATGATTAACTTCTGCATGTTGTATGGGACATTTCATCATTCATTTCCTAATAATTTAAACTGTATCTTACCAAGTGTTCCAGGCAAAAGAGAACATTTGATTATTTGGGTATTGAAACATTATTTTGACGACTTTTTAGCACTGCTGTCAGAGCTGCGTTAAACATATTGATCTGCTGAAGATCTATGTACCTCTAACAGTCTCCAAAAAACTATTTTCTCTGCTAACAGACCTCCATTTAGAATCGTTTATCTATGTCTCCATTTTAAATTAAACATATGGGTGTTTTATTTATTATTTTGTCTGAAAGATTATGAAAGATGAAATCGTTGAACTACAAGTGTACATTTTTACATGGCTTTGCATTTATTTTTGTATGTTTTTTTTAAGTGTTGATTTTGAATTAAGAGGTGTGGCTGTAGTGCATTGTTTGCCGAAAAAAAATGTAGCGTGTCCGAGTTTACAAACATTTCAGGGATGATTGAATTGAACAATACTCCATGGAATTTGTTGTACCCATTAAAAATGATTATCATTTCACATGCAAGCATGCCTAAACATGAATCATCGTACAGTTTGTTTTTCCCCTTTTGATTCGCAAAATATGAATGTACATCTTGTACAAGTAAACTATCAATAAAGTTATAAATATTTGTACTCGAGTTTTAAAATCTATCACTTGTTAAACTGCATGAGGAGAATTGAGTTTCATCCACAAAGGCTGCTGTGGAAACATACTTTACAACTTAGTATAAAAAACATACAATAAGGCAGTAATCCCAGGAAATGAGAGAATTAAAGACAGAATTATCCACATTTTCATGACAGAAACAGAAGTCCAGACTTAAACGCTGGGACTATTTACGCCCTGATTCAGATTCATGCTCTCTCCATGTCTCACACCGTGTTGTGGCTGACGCTCAGCAACCGTCTCAACCTGAGGATCAATATCAATATCAGTCTGGAGTTGACATTCACGTTGACTACGTCTCAGCTCATCACATCCAATCTGAGCACCAACACGGAAAATTGAGCTGCTATAAAATCCAGATGCAACCCTAATCTGCAGCCCCCGACATGGTGCATCTCTCAGCCTGTGTTCGTCAAAATGACACAGATAGGATTGGTATGGAAAGTGGGGCTGGAGCGTCGTCAAATAGAAGCAAGATGGCTGTAACCGGAGTGGGAAGCCCATAAGTGTGTATGAGAAAAGAAGGCGAGCGAGAGATTTGAGGGATACTGTATATATGACATGTAATCTCCTCTGAGCTCGGGGCTCAAAGAGCATCTTTTCTCCTTGTTTCTACGGCAATGATTAACTTTGAGCGGGTGACATGAGAAGGTCAAGAGTTGGCGTGTGTTCATCAGCATCTACATTCGAAGTCAACCACCCCACACACACACACACACACACACACACACACACACACACACACACACACACACACACACACACACACACACACACACACACACACACACACACACACACACACACACACACACACACACACACACACACACACACACACACACACACACACACACACCCTCCACTTTCCACACATACTACATTTTGCAAATCTAAAATGGTCGGCCTTCTTTCCAAATGTATTAGCTTCCTATGGGAGCTTAATTCCAGATGTGTGTACACAAAGTAATTACACCATGTGGTATAGTGGCCTATTGTCTGAACCCCATGCAGGAATTAGCCCAAATGGCGTCCCGTTGAGTGCCGTACCCCCTAGAAGGTCGCCGCGCGTTTAATTTGTACCTCGTTGCTCATACATCAAGATTGAGTGATATAGTCGCAGACTGATGGCTCCGTATTTACCCAGTGACCCCTCCGGCTGGGCCCTGCTGGGGCCAGGTCTGGAAATAACAGCATCCTTTTATGTGTACTAATAATTAACATGGCACACACGGCCATCCATCAACCAGCAATGAGCCATGGCTGCTTTGTCAACATGTTCAAGCACATAACGCTATTTATGTTGGCAACAAGTGAGACACACAATAATATATTAATAGAGGAGTGTGTGTGTATGTGTGTGTGTGTGTGTGTTTGGGGATACTAAGTAGATGGCTGTGCTTCACATTACATCTGGTTTTATTTCTTGGTGAGCTTTTGCTTTTGAATTTGTTTTGGTTGTTTTAAGTAGAGAATCAGAACACACATTTTTCTCTATTCTAGTGACTGGAGGTCAGATTCCCTAACACATTCTTTAGAAAACTGATTTCACGGTTCATGAACTGAGCTCTAATCCAAACTATGAGCACTTTTAGGTATTAAATATTGGGTTTCACCTCCAGAAAATGCAGCCCATAGGACTTTTACCTCTTCGTATATTCGACTTCCTCATCGGTCGCCCCCTTTTAATTCTCCTCGAGCACGGATTTCACAACATGCGAGTCCCAGGAGTCTGAGTCTTGGTGCTACGCTGCGCTAGCCTATCAGAGGTCAAGTGCTCAGGGGTCACGTGAAAATAGTTTTTATCACAGTTCATTCTCATAATCCTCTTTGAAATGTCACACACAACTATGATCAGACGGAATGTGAGCTGTCGTAGCCCCAACGTAAAGCTGGCAGTGGTGTGAAATGACAGAAAATGGGCCTGAGAAGACGGTGAATATTCAGCACAGAGACATGAGGCTAGAGCTTTTGTCATTCTGAATCACAATAACTTCGGGGGCTACATGCAGCAGCTCAGAAAATAAGCGTCTATTTGGTTTAGCTGAGTTTTTTTGGAGCCAACTTAGTGGTTCTTAAATCCCGAGTAAATCTTGTTCCGGCAGTTTCAGCTGTAGCTTGAAGTGAAGCCACCCAGAGAAACCTCAGCTGAAAACAATCGAGCTGAAGTGCTGAAGTCACTACGGTCGGCCGAGGATCAAAGGCCGCCTTTCATCCCCGTTTGTTTGGGCTAGACTCGAGTTCGCTTTGTTGGCTAATGCTCATAAATGTATCTGGAGTCAACAACAGTGCAGAACTATATTAAAACTAACATTTTAAGTCTGGGTCAACACTCTGACGTTCTTTTCTCTAAAGTGTCAAGAATTTAAACTTAGAAAATTGAGGGGGAAAAAAAAAAAGCAGGGCATTAAGTTCACGGTCCATTCAGCCGTTTATGTTTCACTCATTAGCAGTTCAGCTTTTGTTGTTATAATTCAAGTAGTTATCTTGTAAAAACACTGCACTTTATGTCCTATTGCGGCGTAATGTCCCATCAATTTTGGGTAATTACTGAACCTATCAGTTCCATCTACAAATACTCAAGACTTTAATGTCAACATAAATAGTATCATACAATTAACAATTAATCTTTACATCTTTTTCTGTCGTCTATCAACCTCCATCACACCCATTTATCGCGTGAACACATGTTGGTTTATTGAACTTTTATTGTGGTAACTTTAACGACAGATGTAGTAACAGATATGGGAGGGAGACTGTGTTTAAGTTGTTTTGAGCTACATGTTTTGGTTTGGTCTTTAATCTTCTGGTTAGCTCTGGTCAGATTGGGTTTCTCTGTCGGTGCCGAGTGTCTTTTTAGCTCCATCCAGTGGGCTCGGAGTATTTTTGACCAGAGCGCTTCCATCTCTGCTGGGAGGATCCACGAGGAACCGAATCAGAGGAAAGACAGAGTCACGTGGCAGCCGGGGCAACGACTATTCTCAGTTTAATCGCAATAAAAATAACCCAACAGCCTCACATAAATAAAGAATATGATGGATTTATTTAGGTAGTTCTTCCAGCCAGAGAAACACAAAATGTACCAGGACTAGATAAACATTGACTTAATAACAGTTATATTTAACAGAAGACATTTTGACTTGTCAGAGTAGGGAAAGTGAAGATGTAAATAATAACATTATTGTTGGCTGAATACCATTTAGCTGAGGCCTTGTATGTTGCATGCTGGCTCATTGTCTTACTTTCATGGATATTTGAATCATAGGGCTTGTAGATATTATTAGTTACTAATAGATGTATCTTGTTTTCAACTTAGGGTTAGGAAAGACTGTTCATACATTGAAATACATGAAAATAATTTGGAATGAAAAAGTCTAAAATGTGTTTAAAGTGAAAATGTTATTTTGTCTTTTTTTACCAATGTATTGCTTAATGCAACTACTCTAGAGGAATAATAATACTAAATTATGTTTTAAATCTACTGCAATGTTCCAGCTGTAAATCATCTCTCATAAAGTGAGTGGATCCCTCTGCTTCCTTCTGGCATGGCGAACAACTGAAAATCAAACAACCTATAGGACGGTATAAATAAAAAAAAATATATATATATATAAAAACAACTTGTATCCCAACAAGCACTGCCATCTAATATTCTTTTTTTGTTTATCCTTCATATATATTGATTTCAAAATGTAGATGTTGTGTAGAGATATACAAAAAGAGACAAGAGCAAAAGAAAACAAACAAACCCAACAATAAATAATGATGTTTTTCGTGAAATCAAGATGAAATGATCTAAAACGTTGTTGTGTTAGTTGATGGACCGGCTTCAGAAACCGTGATGACATTCAACATCAGAGTCTCGTTCCTGTTCATAAACACACATTGAGCTGCCCTCTGAGAACATATCCCTGATAAATGACGCACCATTGTTTTTCTTTCCCTGCATCATGGCAGATATGGTACAAATAAACATTCAGCAGCAATTTAAAACCGTAATTCATTTTGAAACGTCCTCCATTGAAGTTCTGAGTAACAAACACTTCACTTAGAGCTGTTCTCAAAAATATGTTTCTTAAAATGTCAACGGGCGTCTTCTTCAAAGCCTATTTTAATTACACTACTTCAAACCAGTATTTAGACAACAAATTCACCCGGGGAAAATAATCATTGCAGATTAATGTGATCAATAATCCAAACTCAACAGCAGTGTTGTTTCCAGCTGCTTGTTTTTCTGAGACTCACCGCAGACAACACGAGTCAGGTGATACCGTTCGGCTTGAATGAACAGAGTTTAGGTAATGTTCATATTTACGTTTCTTTCAATCTAAATGGGAAAGCAAATATGATTAAGTTGAGACATTGAAACAGATGTCAACAGTAAATGTTTGCGCGCCATCCCAACAGACCATCAGAGCAAATTCCAAGACTATTAGCTTTAGCACAGAAGGCCAGGAGGTCTCAAATTCACATTCCTCGTCTAAGTGCATGTCCGTCCAGTCGCACAGTGAAGAAGCAGGTGGTCCGCAGTAAAGTTTTAATTGCATTTGTCACAGAGAGCGAATTAAAAGCATCGGTAAAGTTAGACATGCAACTCTTGGTTACTGAAAGGAAATCAAAGGAAGAAATAAAAACTTATTTACGTTGGCGTTTTCAGGATAAATTGGAAATATTTCTCTAAAGTCGAGCCAAACTTTTGTGAGACTGCATGCTGAATAACTTTCCACATCATTTTTTTGGGGGCTTATTATCACACTCAGTCACCCAGAGTGCTTTATGCTAATCTGGATTTAGGTGGAGCAAAGGTCACCAAAATGATTTCTCCTTTCAACAATCTGCCTGGAGATCTTTCAGAAGCTTTTTGTTTTGATGTGGCTCGGCAAAACATCTGTTTGACGGAGAATTAGCTCTGATACATTTCCAAAGCAAGGGAAAGGGA